GTGAGATATGATGCCATGGCACTCTACCAAAGGCAACAGAGTGAGACTCTGTCTCAAAAAATAAATAAATAAATAAATAAAATTAAGCACATTTTAAAATAAGTAATAAGTAAATTATAGTATCAAAACAATGGCAGACCATGTGCAGTGGCTCACAATTGTAGTCCTAGCTTTTAGGGAGGCTGAGGGGAGATCACCAGCCTGAGCAACAACAGAGAAAGACCCCATCTCTACAAAAAAAATTTTTTTTAAGAGTCTAACTATGTTCCCTCAGTAGAGTACTGTAGTGTCACAGCTCACAGCAACCTCCAACTCTTGGGCTTAAGTGATTTTCTTGCCTCAGCCTCTCAAGTAGCTGGGACTACAGACGTGCGTCACAATGCCCGGCTATTTTTTGTTGCAGTTGTCATTGTTTAGCTGGTGCAGGCTGGGTTCAAACCCACCAACCTCAGCGTATGTGGCTGGAGTCATAACCCTTGTGCTACAGGTGCCGAGCCATCTACAAAATTGTTTTTAAAAAACCTTAGTCCCAGGCTCGGCGCCTGTAACTCTGCGGCTAGGGCACCAGCCACGTACACCGGAGCTGGCAGGTTCGAATCCAGCCCAGGCCTGCCAAATAACAATGACAACTACAACCAAAAAACAGCTAGGCATTGTGGCAGGCACCTGTAGTCCCAGCTACTTGGGAGGATGAGGCAAGAGACTCGCTTAAGCCCACAGGTTGCTGCTACGCCATGGCACTCTGCAGAGGGTGATGTAGTAAGATTCTGTCAAAAAGAAACAGGTGGCGCCTGCGGCTCAGTGGGTAGGGTGCTTGCCCCATATACCAAAGGTGGTGAGTTCAGACCCAGCCCTGGCCAAACTGCAACAAAAAATAGCCAAATGTTGTGGCGGGCACCTGTAGTCCCAGCTACTAGGAGACTGAGGCAAGAGAATCACCTAAGCCCAGAAGTTGGAGGTTGCTCTGAGTTGTATGTACCCAGCTATTTTTTGTTTCAGTTTGGCTGGGGCCAGGTTCAAACCACCACCCTCGGTATAAGTGGCCGGCGCCCTACCCATTGAGCCAGTGACCTACCCACTGAGCCACAGGTGCCGCCCAGGTTGCAACCCCTTTTTAACAACGAAAATACACTATGGCATTAGGAAGGTTGAGAACCACTGCTTTAACTGAAGGATTTCTCCCATGTGAGGGCAATATGAACTCTTTTTTTTTTTTTTTT